GCGTTCCCTCCCCTCCCCTCCCACCCCTGGTAACCAACAAAGAAAATGTCCTTCTATAGATAAACCTTTCCTTAACTTTTATAATAACGGACTTGCTGCTTTCAGAATTCGTTCTTTGTCTTTGGTTTTGATGAGTTTGATGATGATATGTCTTGGTGATTTTCTTTTGGGGTCTGTCCTGTTTGGGGCTCATTGGAGTTCCTGGATGAATATATTCTCATCTTTCATCGTATCATGGAAGTTCTCTTCCAACAAATTTTGGACAATTTTCTCAGTGGTTTTATTTTTCTCTTCGTGTTCTGGAATTCCAATGACACGTAGGTAAATTCCTTTTGATGGTATCCCTCATGAACCTTAGACTTTCTTCATTTTGTTTTGATCTTTTTTCTGATTGATCCCTTTTTAAAGAAGTGTTCAGGTATTTGTCTTCAGTCTCATTAATTCTGTCTTCCATTGATTCAGTTCTGCTCCTTTGCCCTTTCAATGTGTTATCTGTTTCTGAAAACTTAATCTTCTGGATTTCTGTCTGTAGATTTTAAATCATTTCTAATTTTTCATATTTTTTTTATTTTCATCTGAAATTGTTCAAGGGTTTCAGCTGTGTTTTACTTAATTTTGTCAGTGTTTTCCTTGATCCTTGATCCTTTGAAGATACCTAAATATAATTCTTTTGAATGTTTATCAGGGAGTTCCAATGCTGCTGTTTTCTCAGGGATGTGTTCTGGTTCTGTATCCTGCTCTCTTGTTCCTACCACTTTATCTTCCTTCTTTGTATGGACTGTGATGGACTATTGTATCTGAGACATTGTGACATTGTTGTATTTAAATCTCTTAAAGTGTTTTTTGATGAAGGGTTACACAGCAGTTTAGGTTTCCATTTAACATTTTCTATACATTGACATTGGTTGCATTTTTTACAAAACATGAGCATTCTCATTATTTCCATTCAATTAGTCATTCTATTTCTATTCAGTTAGTTTTCCTACTTTCTTATATTCTCATCTTTATTTTAAAGTCAGTGTTGACCGTTTGGTCTCATGTAGGTGAGTTTTTAAAGGGGCATAGTACTCACATGATACTCATTTTTTGAGCCAATTTGTTATTTAGCTACAAGGTGACCTTGGATTAGTTTCCATTCCAGATTTGAAGAGTATCTCAGGGCTCTATAGTCTTGGGCAGCCCTCAAGACTCAACCAGTCCAGTAGGTCTGGTTTTTTATGTTTTTAGGAATTTGAGGTTCTACTCATTTATTGTAGCCCTGATTAGAAAGATTGGTAGTGATAGCTGGGTACCATTTAGTTATTCTGATCTCAGGGTAGATGAGGCTGTTGTTTGTGGAGACTATTTGTTTTGTAGACTACTGTACTTTCCCACAAATAATGTGTTGTTGTTGTTATGTACCATCGAGTCAAACCTGATTCATAGTGACCCTTCCTTGGGTTTCCAAGACAGTAGTATCACTAGGGAAGCAGTTAGCCCAACCTTCCTTCTGATAAGTGGCTGGTGGGTTTGAACCACCAGCCTTCTGGTTAGCAGTCAAGTGTTCTAGGTACTACACTACCAGAGCTCCTAGTGTGCACAGTGCGCATAGGAAACTAATGCATAAGGGGGTTGTGTGGTTTGTAAGATAACATACTTTGTGTTATTTGTATAAAAATATGGTAGTTTCTTCTTTGAATCTTTCATATCCTTCTTTCTCTTTAGCTCTGGAAAAGTAGAAACTTAATATTGGTATCTTAGATAGCTGCTGACAAGCTTGTAAGTCCCCAGATAACTCTTTCCCAGGCTAGACATAGAACATAACTTTATGAACTGTATCATGCCCGTTGACTGTGATGTCCTGAGAGACTATGGTCCTAATCCTTCACCCTCAGAAATCCGGACCCATGAGGTGTTTGATAATGTCTAAGAAGTATTTGTCACTGTGCCCGTTATGTGCTTTATTACATATATGAATATATGTACATGTATAATATCATCATTATCACACAGGTAAAGTAACTTACTTAAAGTAATGTGGTAGAGCTGATATTTGAGTGTAGGCAGCCTTGTTCGAGACTCTGTACTTTATCCACTAAGCACTTTCAAATATTGAGTGTATCTCATAATACTTTCTCTTAGCTGGAATCCTTAATATGTTATATTTTTCAGATCTTTCTGTGGAATTTGGAACAGTTCTAATTTATACATGTGAGAAAAGTTGCTGGCCTCAAAATCATCAGACTCCCATGGAAGAATTTTGTATTACACAAGAAGACCCTGATGAATTATTATTTAAGTAGAGCATTTTATTTTATTTATATAGATTAAAACAAATATTAAGGACAAAATTTGGTGTTTTTATCTCATTTTAACTCACAAGTTATTTATTCTTCTTTTATAAAGTGTTGTCCTTTAAATTGTTGCTAGCACTGGCGGTACAGACCTCCGGAGTGACTGCAGGCTTGTCTACTCTTTCAGAGTCAGAGGTCTGTCTGCACAGGAGCAGCTTGGAGAGTGACTCCTCTGCAGCCCAGAGGGCAGCTATCCTTTCACAGGTAACCTTATGAGCATTCTAGGAGGAAGGGACAACAGCAGAAGAGCAGCTTCTTATCACCTCTACTATCTACACTCTTTTGTACTCTGTTGCTGCCTCTGGATGTTGACAGATCAAACCACTTGATCTGCTCCCATGAGTCATAAGCCCTGCAACCTTCTCTGGGCTCCCCTGCCCTCACTTGTTTCCCCCCCTTTCCCTGTAACAATGCAGAAACTTTCTAACCAAACTCACTGCGGTAAAGTCAATTCTGACCCATTGCAACCCTGTAGGACAGAGTTGAACTGCCCCATAGGGTTTCTAAGGCCAAAAATATTTATGAATGCAGACTGACATATCTTTCTTCCAAGGAGCAGCTGATGGGTTCAGAGTGCCAACCTTTTGTTTAGCAGCCAGTCACTTAACCACTGAGCCACCAGGGTTCTTAATCAGAGATTCAGTCTAAATCTGTTGCTGTCAACTTGATTATGATTCATGACAACCCTGTAGCAACCCTATGGAACAAAGTAGAATTGCCTTATAGGGTTTCCAAGGCTATTAATGTTTACAAAAATAAACTGCCACATCTTTATGTATCCTGCAGAGCAGTGGTGGGTTTGAACCACCAACCTATCAGTTAGGAGCCAAGCACTTAACCACTTTATGACAGGGCTCTTAACATCATAGAAGGTGGCCCTTACTCTGTTCTGGACATTGTTCCTCCATCCAGTTGTCCACTCTTCCAGTCTCCCCTTTCTCCATTCAGTTTTTGTGTTTTCAACCCCTTCCTGTACACTACCTATTACAGCACTCTAAACACTCCTACTTTTTCAGTATTACCTTATAGAATTTGTTTGCTACTCTGGTAAATAGCACCTTGCTCCCAGATTATCATGGGTTGAGGGTTTCCTTCTGGGTAGTGTGTGACTGATGAGATCCCCACCAGATCCTACTTCTCCCCACCTGAGGGAAAGTGCTTACATGTGTAGAAATAGAAAATTGAAGGTACTAGTCAGGCTGCCCACCAGACAAGGATAACTCTCCACCCTTGTTGGATGATCTGGCCTTTGCTCTGGCCTTTCCTGTGTAGCATGTATCAGGGCAACAGCCTGAGTGTCCCTCAGAGCAGCCTGGTATATGGTTGGTGATCTAAGCAGTAGATGAGAGACTGCTGGTGTCAAAAGAACATTTTCTTCTCTATTTTCAATCTTTTCCTCTTTTCTTCTAATAATTCTTTTTCTGGTTTTTCTTCTAATAATTCTTTTTCCATATGCATCAGCATCTGGAAAATACAGAAAAGTTTAGAAAAGAAATACAAATTATATTTTACCACCCAGATACACAAAACAATTAACATGGTTATTTCCTTCCTGTCCTTAATATGTTTTTTGTTTTTTACAAAGTTGTAATCATACTGTATTGATTATGTTGTATCTTTTTTACTTAACATTTGTTGTAGTGGAAAAAACTACAAGTCTGTTTAAAGTAAAACAAAGAGTTTATTATGGTGAACTTGTTTTGCAAAATGGGCAAACATAAGAATTAAAACTTTTAACAAAGTGCTTCTGGAGCTACAGAGATACCAGAGGCTATAAACATAAAAACTGCAATTCAGGGCAGATATGTTTGGAGTATACTTGACTAAATAATATTTACAAAGTTCCAGGTGCTAGAGTCTTGGTTGACCACCTCTGCAGAGGTTGGACTTTGCCAAGGATGGCTCTAGATAAGAGGATTTTGGGTGATGATAAGTTTCCTTGAAACTGTTTTAAAATATAGGTACAGTGAGATTGCTCCCTGCATTCCTCATGATACTATGTGATGGCTGATCCTCTTCTGGAATGAGGAAACATGAAGAACTGGCAGAAGTTAAGAACTAGGTGAAACTGATAAAAGCAGTTAAAGGTGCTTCACCTCAGCTACGCAAGCACAGTGTACAAAATTTCTGTTTAGTGGTAAACTTTGGATGTCACTAGCCCCAAAACACATCCCCTGGTGGCCATGCCACTGCACCCCACTGATGCTAATTAGTTCTTAAAAATGCAACTATTTCCCTCTTAACCATATGGATATGTGTGACTTATTTGTTTTGAAGTATGTAAAAATGGAAGCAGCTTATCATTCAGGGAACTCAATCTAAGGCCAGGTCCTCCAGGATCCTTCTTCATGTGCTTACAATAAACACACTTTGCTCTTTGCACCCTGGTGTTCTTCATGACTTGGGAGCCACGTAGAGTGGGATACTCTGGCAGAAGTTGTCTGCAGCAAATTCTTTAGTGACCACAAAGGGACTGATGCCCAGTTCCAGGCATCAAGATACCAACTAGAGGGAAGGACTTCAGCTCTCAGCACCACTGGACCCTTTGTTCTGGGGAGGATACTTCAGCCCCAATGGCCATCATCAGTTCAGGACCTAACAGTAGCCAACTGTAAGGTGAGGGTAACAGTGCCTAGAATTCCCTAGAACAAGGGAGGACAGCTCTCTGGTAAGTACCATTTAAATCTTATCTCCCTGGCTGTCCAGTGGCATCCAAGACTTGCTAGTGCATAGCTGGTAAGAGTGGAGAAAAAAGAATAGTCTTTGCTAAAGTAGGTGTCTGTACATGGTGGTATCATAGGTAACAGTCAAAGTACTTTAGGTTGTATACCTCTAAAGTGCATTTTAAAGAATTGGTCTCATTTTGGCTATGATCCAATGAGAAAATATGAAATGAAATTTTTCTCTCTTACTGCTTGGCCACAGTATCAATTAGGATATGGTTAGAAGTGACCCAAGAATGGGTTGGTTTTTTTGCTTCCAAGAATGGGTCTTTGAATTACAGCACTATACTGCACTTAGTTTTTTATTGAAGCACTGGTGTCATAGTGCTAACCAGAAGGCTGGCTGTTCAAACCCACCAGCCTGTCCTTGGAAGAAAGATTGGGCAATCTACTTCCATAGAGATAGCACCTCAGAAACCCAAGGAGGGGTTGCTATGAGTTGAATCAACTCAGTGGCAGTGAGTTTTTTTTTTTTTAGACAGAGATAATCTTAGTCTGGAAGCTCCGCTGAAACCTGTCCACCATGGTGACCCTGACGGTATTTCAGATACCAGTGGTATAGCCTCCAGCCTCACAGCAACATGTGTGGATCATACTAAATTAAGAATAACATTGAGAAGAATGGGAATTCCAGAACACTTAATTGTGCACATGAGTAATCTATACATAGACAAAGAGGCTGTTGTTCATATAGAACAACGGGATACTTCCTGGTTTAAAATCAGGAAGGGAGTGTATCGGGGTTGTATCCTTTAGCTATACTTATTCAGTCTTTATGCTGAGCGAATAATCTGAGAAGCTGGACTGTATGAAGAAGAGCATGGCATCAGGATTGGAGGAAGACTCATGAACAATCTGCAGTATGCAGATGACACAACTTTGCTTGCTGAAAGTGAGGATGACTTGAAGCACGTACTGGTAAGATTAAAGTCTGCAGTATGGAGTTGCCCAGGGGGCAAGGAGGCTGCATTTTCTGACCTCCTCTAACCCCACAAGAGAAAGACACAATCACCTTCAGTAGCCCAAGGCCTATCTCTGTGAGACCAGACATGCCACCTCCCTCCAGCCCTTTCACCAACCCTGACACCAACTGTTCCTCTCACAGCACCCACCACCTCTCTGCTGGGTTCTATAATCACTGCAGTGGCTACAAAGAACTAAACAATTATGGGGTTTTTTAGGGAAGCACCAGGCTACAATTCAAGTTCAGGAACACGCTTAGTCTTTCTCAGCCCACCATCTCTCACCCAACAGTCTTTCTTTCAGCAGCGTGTCTCTCCCCCAGCAGTGCATTCTCTCAGTCTTTCTCTCGGCAGCACGTGTCTCTCAGTCTCTCTCTCAGCAGCACATGTCTTTCGCATCTCTCTCAGCAATGCATGTGTCTCGCATCTCCCAGCTGGCAGTGAGAGATTCCTTCTGCCTCTAGGAGGGCTTCTTTTGAGCCTGGCAGAGTGGCAAACTAACCCATCCCAACCTCAGAATTCTATACACCTGAAGATTACTTTGTGCTGCTCTCAACTGATGGATAACTTTAACAATCAAGAGCTACTCAGTTGCTCACAGCAAATTCTACCACGGAGTTTACAAAGACTTTTGGCTAGAAAAGCCATACTAGGTAATTTACTACACCGTAGGAGTACATCTCAACATAAAATGAAAATCCTTACAACTGGACCAGTAAGCAGCATCATGATAAATGGAGAAAAGATTGAAGTTGTCAAATATTTCATATTACTTGGTTCCACAGTCAACACCAATGGAAGCAACAGTCAAGAAATCAGATGATATATTGCACTAGGAAAATCTGCAGCAAAAGACCTGTTTAAAGTGCTAAAGAGCAAAGAGATCTCTTTGAAAGCAGCTACATAAATGTAGTGGGGGAGGGCAGGGAAACGAGATGAATAGAAATGGAACATCCAGGATGGAACAAATGAGGATGTTTACACATGTGAAGAATGTAAGCAATATCCCTGGACAATTTTTGTAGAAATTGTTAAATGGGAACCTCAATTACTGTGTAAAGCATCCCCCAAAACACAATAAATTATTATTATTATTACTATTTTAAATCTCTTTGAAGACTAAGATGTGCCTAACCCACACCATGGTATTTTCAATCACTTCATATACATGTGAAAGCTGGACAATGAATAAGGAAGACCAAAGAAGAACTCTGATAGCATAGTGCCTAAGGCACTTGACTGCTAACCAGAAGGCTGGCAGTTC